TCGGGTTAAAAGTCTCTGGAAACCGGGACGCGAACTCTTACTTATTTTATTCTATAACTTAGGTTGTCAGGTTGCTGCTATGCACAAGCGTTTGCCACCTCCCCCTTAGAGTAGAGTTGAACTGACGTGACACTGTCATCGTCGGTATTAGAAAACTACGTTAGCCATAGGCGCCGTCTTTCCATTCTGATGGATCCCCCTCTTCCAAAACATGTCTCAGCATTTTATTTTATGTATAATAATTACATCTGTTTTCTAAAAGGAAAAAAGAAGGAATGCTCTGATTACAGAGATATAGCATTTCCAAGTCAATTTCAACCTTTTCCAAGTCAAATTCAACCTTTTCCAAATCAAATTAAACTTTTTCCAAGTCAAATTCAACCTTTTCCATTTCAAATTAAACCTTTTCCATTTCAAATTCAACCTTTTTTTATTTATTTAATTATCTTTAATTTTTCGATGCGTGGGTCTGTTATCGTATGAGTAGTTTTTTAAAATAATCTCCTTTTTAAGATTACTGACTGCGTTTCGAATTATTTAAGTTTTTTTTATTTATTCGATATAAGGGTGTATTTTTATGTTTCCCGATCAGTAAATTTTTAAAATGACATCTATTTTATGTTTACGCCACTGTGTTTTGATTTATTTAAGTTTTTAGAATTTATCCAATATAAAGGTCTACTTTTTTGTTTCCGGAGCCGAAGATTTTGAAAACGACCTCCATTTTAAGATTAGGCCACCGCGTTTCGACTTATTTGAGTTTTTCGGATATTTTTCATATGAGGGTGTATTTTTATGTATCCGGAGCTGTAGATTTTGAAAATGACCTCCATTTTAAGATTAGGCCACCGCGTTTCGACTTATTTGAGTTTTTCGGATATTTTTCATATGAGGGTGTATTTTTATGTTTCCGGAGCTGTAGATTTTGAAAATGACCTCCATTTTAAGATTACGCCACCGCGTTTCGACTTATTTGAGTTTTTCGAATTTTTCCATATGAGGGTGTATTTTTATGTTTCCTGAGCTGTAGATTTTGAAAATGACCTCCATTTAATGATGACGCCATTGCATTTTGACTTATTTAAGTTTTTCGAATTTATCCAATTTAAAGGTCTACTTTTATGTTTTCGGAACCGTAGATTCTGAAAATGACCTCTATTTTATGATTACGCAACTGCGTTTCAACTTATTTAAATTTTTAGAATTTAACAAGTATAAAGGTCTAATTTTATGTTTCTGGAGCAGTAGATTTCCCCCATTTTGTAAATGACCCAATTTAAAGTTTATGCCACTGTTTTGGATTATAAAAGTTTCTTTTTTTACTTTTTCGGTATAAGGATCTACTTATATGTTATCCGAGACGTATTGAAATTTTTCTAATCTTTAATATTTAAATTTATCTAATATTTAAGCTCCATTTTATGATTAAGCCGCTGCATCTTGATTAATTAGGCTTCATTTTGGATTTTTTCAATACAAAGTTTCATCAATATGTTTTCGAGTATGAATAAATAAATAAATATTATGAAGCTAAAGTAAAATTAACCACAGAATACAAACTAAAAAGCCGAAAAGCAACTGGTAATAAATTTAACCTTCCGTATTCAGATTTTTCAGCTAATTGTTCGAAATCTTATAATTTTGTGATAGGAGACCACAACATTAAAAAAGATAACTAAAATTAAATTAAAAATGAGACAATACATATTTTATTTATTTTGATTAGATATTTTTATTTATTTATTGAAAAATAAATTAATCCTTCGTATTATGTTTTTTATTCGAAGGAAAAATCAAAAACACTTAACAAAACCGAAACACAGTGGCCTAATCTTAAAATGTAAGTCGTTTTAAAAACTAAGGCTCCGGCATCATAAAAGTAGACCTTTAAATTGGATAAATTCGAAAAACTTGAATAAGCCGAAACGCAGTGGCGTAATCTTAAAATGGAGGTCATTTTCAAAATCTACGACTCCGGAAACATAAGAATACACTCTTTTATGATAAAAATTCGAAACACTTAAAGAAATCGAAATGCGGTGGCCTAATCTTAAAATGGAGGTCGTTTTCAAAATCTACGGCTCCGGAAACATAAGAATACATCCTCATATGAAAAAAATCCGAAAAACTCAAAGAAATTGAAATGCGGTGGCCTAATCTTAAAATGGAGGTCGTTTTCAAAATCTACGGCTCCGGAAACATAAGAATACATCCTCATATGAAAAAAATCCGAAAAACTCAAATAAGTCGAAACGCGGTGGCCTAATCTTAAAATGGAGGTCATTTTCAAAATCTACAGCTCCGGAAACATAAAAATACACCCTCATATGAAAAATATCCGAAAAACTCAAATAAGTCGAAACGCGGTGGCCTAATCTTAAAATGAAGGTCGTTTTCAAAATCTACGGCTCCGGAAACATAAAAGTAGACCTTTATATTGGATAAATTCTAAAAACTTAAATAAGTCAAAACACAGTGGCGTAAACATAAAATGGATGTCATTTTCAAAATTTACTGATCGGGAAACATAAAAATACACCCACATATCGAATTTGTCAAAAAAACTTAAATGATTCGAAACGCAGTCACGTAATCTTAAAATGGAGGTTATTTTCAAAACTAGGTACAGGACAGCATAATACTAGTCCCTAAGAAATCCGAATAGGTACAATAAATCGATATCCGTAAGTGAAAATTCTACTTAGGAGAGCATAATAATAGACTTTCATATTGGAGGGGGGGAGGGGATGGCCATTATTTAAAAAAAAAATATAAAATTTACAAAAACTTAAAACATTAATTTGAAATGAAAACGGTTGAATTTGAATTGGAAAAGGTTTAATTTGAAATGGAAATGGTTGAATTGACTTGGAAAAAGTTTGATTTGATCTGGAAAAGGTTGAATTTGACTTGGAAAAGGTTGAATTTGACTTGGAAATAATTGAATATCACATAGAAATATCACACTGAAAAAATCTAAAATGTTAAAATAAATGGATATGCAACTGCGTAATCAAATTTTTTTTTGTATTTTTTAAAAGCTATGCCGTCGATAATATAGTAAGTGGCCTTCATTTCGAAAAAAATCGAAAATTGACAAAAATTCTAAAGTTGAATTTGAAATGGAAAAGGTTGAATTTGACTTGGAAAAGGTTGAATTTGAAATGGAAAAGGTTTAATTTGACTTGGAAAAGGTTGAATTTGATTTGGAAAAGGTTGAAATTGACTTGGAAATGCTATACAGTTACTAGCAGCATTATTACTCATAAGTAATAATGCTAACAAATTTTAATAGACCTGTACTGCCAGCAGTGGAATACGCATACTGCTGCTATAACCCGTATCACCTATAAGGCAAGGCAGGGTGAAAAAATAAATAAGTAAAATAAAATGGTTCTTGAGCGAAGATAAAAATCAGAAATAGCCTCTATTGTTCAACCTAAACGTTGAAGAGGTTCTAAAAGTATGAAAGAAGAAATGCATGGGGATGGGAATAGAGATAGGCGATAAATACCTTTATACCCTACAATTTGCCGAAAACCCGGTAGTAATAGCGAATGACGATGCTATGGAAGCTCTTGGAAGACTATAGAGCATGGAGTTTGGGGGTGAATGAAGAAAAAATGAATTATATGGCATTTAACGCGAATATAAATATAAGAGCCTTATCACAAGAAAATTGGGAATTAGGAAAAAAAGATAAATTTAAATATATTGGTAGATAACTGAGAATGAAATCCCCTCCAAGAACATCATGGAAAAAATCCCTATAGGAAGGCGAATAATTGGGACAGTAAAGTCTGTGTTATGGAACAGGCAGACAAATCTTAAAAAAACAAAAAAACTATATTATTCTTTTTTAGAAAGCATCACTCTACACGCATCTGAAACGTGGGTTATCACCAATAAGGCTACTTTAATTAAATATGGATTTTTGGAGACCCTGTTGATTCATTTCCTGGCTGTAGCATGTTCTCAACAAAAATATTAAGAGGAATGTTCAGTAGGAAAAAACTATGCTCTACAACATGGAAACAAAACAGCTGAAATGGTATGGCCATTTACAGTGAAAGGCGGACGACCAATGACCAAAATTAACCTTTCTCTATCAACCGATAGAAAGGGAATAAAGAGGACGACCAAGGAAGAAATGGATGCAGGAAGACGGCTATCAGCACGGGCGGATTTACGGGAGGAATTTGGGGATGAAGCCCCCCTCCAAAATGGTAAAATATAACCATTTTATATAACCGTTATTAAATTATTATTAAAATATAACCGTTTTATGGAAAAAAATTATCTCTTAAAGTATTATTGTTCGTGTAATTACATTTAAAAGGACTTTAGGAATCACTTAAACACCATTTCATATACGCAGTTAGTTTCTTTCTTTTGTTCCAAAGTAATTATCGTTATTTTTATTTAAAAAAAAAAAAAAAAAAATCTTTCGGGCTGAAGCCCTCCTCCCCCCCCCCAAAAATAATTAATTTCTGGATCCACTAGGGGCTGCCAGTGGTCTTGGAGAGGGATATTGCCTAGGAACTGTGCAAAGAAAGAAAACAACATTATTTTGGAAAGATTATCCCTTGTATAAAAGATGGATAACCTTTTCTTTTGATGTTAGTTTAGTTTAGTTAAAATAACAAACTGGGAGTGATACACGCTGAAAAAAACATTTTATTATGATGTCATACCTCATTTTTAAAATATCTTCTTTTAATAAACGGACATATTTTTCGAACAGAGCTCATTCTATTGATGTTTATTCGAAGGAGACTAGTGTTGTATTTTCCCACCAAAAGATGTCGCTGTTGAGATTCGTACTGGTAGGTTATTGATGCAATGTGCGGGCATTCTGAAATGTCAGGTTTGTTGTGAACGGATTTAGAAAATTGCTTTGTGATGTATTAATACTCAATTATTGCACTATTACTGCTACAGGTATTTATTTATTACGTTTTAATTCGAAAATTTCTCATTAATTTTAACCATCATAAACAACTGCATTCTTTCATATGTATTTTTAGCATTTGTGTTTTAACATTTTTATGTATCTTTCTTGAAAATATTTAAAAATTAGAAGTCTCAAAAGTATTTTTTCTTCTAGATTTCATTATGGGCAATACAGTTTCAGCAGCACATAAAACTGCAGGTCAATTGGTTGGCCCCCTCGCTTTGGGGAATCAGTCTGATGTGAAACCAGGCATCGATTATTCTTTTATTCCTGCAGAATGTCCTATGTATAAAAAAGTAAATTTGGCCTTCATATTGTTTCTCATTCAGAACTTCAGTATTTCTTTAAAATCTAACCTATTGAGTTTGCAATTTTTCTCTCTCTCTTATTCTTCTTTGGTTTTAGGGTACTGGAAACGATGCTTCAAATGACGATATCAATCCCCTTAATATGGTAAGATATCATTTATTAATTTGGATTTGTCTTTACTATTCTATTATAATATAGATTTGGTTCTGAGTTGCTCAAAGTTAAGATATAATCGCATGTGTATTTTTAGATGCATCCTCCAAATCAAAAACCAGCACCTGATCAACCTTTCCCTCTTCCAACAAACAGAGAAGTGTCAACAATACCCAAAGCCACACCACAGTTTGAAGGAGACAATTATTGGGTATACCCTTCGCAACAGGTGGGTCATTATGTGAAATAAATTTTTATTAGTTACAGAAAATTTAATAGTACCAATGTCACTCTACTTTCTTCAGTAGTCCAAGATATAAAGATATAAGCAGTATAAATGGGATTCCGAGAGTAGCTGAAGATCAAAATTTATGACCAACAACCTACTGTTCCTTTTTAAGGGAAATCTGGGATTTAATTACATTGCTACTTATGATATTTGCTCTAAAGGGCCTAACAAATCTCTAACGGGTCCTTTTGAGTGGAAGTTGGAGACTTACCAGATGGTTCAATCACTTCCATCTGTTTTCAAAAACATGGCCACTCTCAGTATTCTATTTATGGTGTGATCATGAGATCTTGTGTCACCGATGAAAGCGGAGCGATATTTGTACAGTACTACCTATTTAATTTATTTTACAAAACGTTATTGTTAACTGTACGATCATAGGTGTTTTTTACACCTACAAAAATACAAACAATTATATCCGGTTACCTTTGAGTTAGTTTTGTATTTACGGATATGGAGAAGTTTCTGGAACAAAGCTGCTCAGTATTAAGAATGTTATAATCCATTCTTTCTGACATTATGTTTGAAGAATTTAAATGTATGTCAGAAATAAACTTTATCGGTAGAGTATTTATGTTTTTTACTTACTAATAAGTTATATCAAAGTAATTATAGTGACAAAATCGTTTAAAAAAGTTATGTAATTATGATGATGAGAGTTTTAATATACTTAAGATTATGGCTTATTTACTATACTTAACTAATAGCTTGCATGATTGTGTTGTTGAACACTGGGGTTTTGTGGAGGCATTTTTGTAGACAGTTATCAGGGATCTAGTTCACAATGGTCATGTAAGGTTGGCAAGTGATTTAAGATTCCAGAGATCACACTGCTGATGAAGCTTCAAATGTAACCAAGTTTTGACAACCATGCTCACGAAAGGGTGCAACCCAAGCATGAAAAGGGGTATGCAAACCATAAGCTGATCTTTTTCAGTTGAGTTCAAGGCCTTAAGGCATAAGTAGTCCTTGACAGTGGAGATGGATACTTTTTAATTCATCATAAAACATCTTCATTTCTCTGAGGAAAATGTAGAAATTGCTTCCATATACTTTAGGACCCACTCAGCTATAGAATTTGATGTATAGTGTGATCAAGCCTCTTGATTCACTTTGTTACAACTGTTAATATGCAAACTACTTATATGAAGTGGGTGATAACAAGTACTGTGGAGTATCGATAATTTAAGTTAGATGGGGAAGAATCTAAGTCTGATGACACTTAGGTTATTCAGAAAAATTTTAGATAATGAAATCAGATTAATGTGTATTTCAGTGTGTATTATTTTAAAATAATGTAAATTCATTTCAGTCCAGTTTTGCTGCATTTACATTAAATTGATCATTTTGAATAACTGTACATATTCTTCTTTGTTTGCCTCTTATGCCATTCCTAACGTAGAGGAGCCTCGATCCAACAGAGCCATACCTCTCAGTCATGGACAAGCTGCCTCATTTCTTGAAGAGTTTTTCCTCTCTTTCCTCTTATCCACTGTATATACTCATTATGTAAACAATTGTGAGACAGCTTTGCAGTCTCTTCCCAGTGAGTTGAGCTTCCATCGAGTTTCTCTTTTATCCTCCATCCAAAAAACGTGACCAAACCATTTCAGCTGTCAATTTTCAAGCGAGTTCTTTAGCTTTACCACCTCCAATCAGCCCCTGCTGTTCTTTTTAAGGGCTGTCCGTAGGAACTTCATTTAAGCACTTGTCACCCGGCTAGCTTCCTTGTCCAGCTGAACCCAACTTTCACTTCCATAAGTCAGGGTTGGTAGGTACACAGACTTGTATACATATGCCTTTTAATTTCTTTACTAACGTCTTTTTGTCCCACTACAGTGTTGATAGAATAATAAACCTGGTTGTCTTTGGAAATCCTATTTGATACTTCTGGGTCAATGTTTCAAGGTCAATGAGGCTGTCTCCCTGCCTCATGCTCTTGTACTCCCTTCCATTGTTCCACACAGCTGCTTTGGCTGCCTAATAAACCAATCTGTGACAAGATCTTCTGGAACATTTTTTGCTTTCAAAACATCCCATATTTCTTCTCTGGGGGCGGAGCAAATGCTGATTAGCATTTGGGCAATGACTAGCACTTAGGCTACTTTATTCAAAATGGTTTGAAACTCTTTTATTTATCCTAGAAAATATGTTTGCTCATCGTAGTACATACTTACTCATTTATAAAGTCACACCTATTTTATTTACAAACATTTAAACAAATTATTAAATTTGAAAAGCATCTTAAGAGATTACAGGGGAAAAAATCGATAAAAAGATCTTGGGTCATTGGAAATTCAGATTACCTGGATTTCATTTTGATGTGAAGTGACTTTTGGCTGGTATATTATTTAGATAAATAACATCAAAGTGGTCATTGTTGAATTGTATTAATGCATTTGTATTTGTTGAATTGTATTAATTGTATTAATCTAGTTTCATAATTTATACATAATTAGTAAGTTATAATGACAAGGGAGGGAAGATAAAATCTAAAAAATACTTATGTTGAGAAAGTTGAAGTAGAGAAAAGGATGCATGTAAGGGAATAAGAAAATTAGATAATGAAGTTAACTCATGTCATATTGATGTTACTGTTGTATTTTATTTTTCAAGGTTAGAAAGAAAGAACATAACAGTATCTAATTTACCCTTATCATCAATACTAACTTAACGTTTTTCTTATTAAGTGATTGAGTTACTATTATTAGCCATTATTGTTGGGATTATGTTGCCATTATGTTTTATTTCTTTAACTCTAATTTTAAGTATATTTTATGCGATCGTCGTTTATTATTTTGATTAAACCTTTTATTTATTTTTTTCTTTTAATCAAGAATTACTGATTTTCATAGTTTATATTTCACATTACAGATTGTATTGCTTTGTACTGTATTGTTTTCTAGTTGTTATCCAGAAAGTACATTTTGCATGATTTAATTGCCTTTTTTTTTTTTTTTTTCTTGTTTTAGATGTTTTGGAATGCAATGCTAAGAAAAGGTTGGAGGTGGAAAGATGATGATCTAAAACCAAAAGATATGGAAGATATAATTAAAATTCATAATGCCAACAATGAGCAGGCTTGGCAAGAGGTATCATACCAGTAAACATATTTTAATTGCTTTATTTCATGTATTAATAAAAAAATTGCATGTTAAATGTTTAACCTGTATGGGTGTGGTAGCTTATTTAACTTCTACTTTATGTTTAGTTAGTCAAGTGATTATGAAAATTTCATAATTTTTTGCCATAGGTTCTCAAATGGGAAGCACTTCATTGCAAGGAATGTTGCACTCCTAAACTAAAAAGTTTTGGTGGAAAAGCTCAAGATTATTCTCCCAGAGCACGTATACGTCAGTTAATGGGGTATGTGTTAGTTGGATGAAAAATATTGGGTGGATCCATAAGTTTGTTCGGTGTGAAATAAAACAAGTTTTTCATATACAGAATAAATTTTACTCAATAATTTATTCGCCATTTTTATTAATGATATCACTCGAAACAACATCGGTGGACTGTCCGCAGCATGGTGCATCTTCGAGACTCATATCTCTAGAACGAAACTCAGCAAAATATTTTTGAGCAGTACGTTCCGTTAAGCCTACATTAAGCTTACATATCTTTCGTTGGGCCTCCAATGTTCACTTGCCTTTTTTTACAATGAAACAGCAAAATAGGTCAAAAATGTCCTTTATCATTTGACATATTTATTATGCTGCGGCGCAAACAACACTAATCCCAATGAAACCAAACACAGCAGTTTGGAAGAGCGGACTTTGACCTTTCCGATAAGTATCTTTATTTAGAACTGGAGATATTTAAAAACAATTCGTACTATTAACAAAAACAGAATGAACTTATGGGTCCCCCCAATATTTTTAACAAATCATTTATATTCTATGTTTATATACCATTCAAAGTGAGACTTAAATTTCACAAAACAAATACTATTAGGTTAGGTAAACATTTTAATTATTTTTTTAATGTTTAGAAAACTTGGTATTCGCAGTATGTTTTTCCTTTATTCTATTACATTTTCCTTCTCCCTCCCCTTCCCAAAATATTTCATTGGTTTCATCTTCTTAATAACAGTGCAAACGAGAGTAAAATTTAAAAGATTAAATCATATACAATTATATTTACTGCGGTTTTTCCCTGGTTTGAAACTTTCTATTCCAAAAATTTCTGACTCCACTGAAATGTGTACCTCTCAAAAATGTTGAAAACTTGAATCATGAAATCCCCTCCTGGGTACCTCTAATTCAGAGGCTGTAACTATAAATTTGGCAGAAGGTTAGATAGGCTTTCCATGTATTAGTAATGTAAATTAAACAAAAACTTTTCTTTTCCTTTTAAATTAAACAAAAACTATGATTTTTGCATGTTCAAGATGTTATGTACATAATTTTACACATTTTGGATTTTTACTGCACAAAAATCTGGTCTTTAGTGATCCTTAGCTTTCAAGCACCTTCTCAATTGTTTGTGCACATTAACACAGAGTAAGAACGTATATAGAATTGTAATAACTTGAATTTTTCTTTATAGCCATTGAAATATTTTTAGATAATACTATGAGAGAAAAGATCTGCTATGTTAGTTAAGGACCAAATTAAGACTGGTAGTAAAGAAATATCCTGACACTAACTTCAAGATTTTAGTGGCTAAAAGAGTTAAACAAAGATAAACCAACGATTACACATATTCCATTTTATTTTATTTTTTTATAACCTTCTAATAAACTTTTCAAAATTACATATAGAGTAATTGTTACATGAATAAAGTGATTTGCTAATTTAGTCAATGAAGTGAATATTTTACTCGTTTACATTTATTAATGAATTTATTAAATTTTAGGTACGAATTACCATTTGACAGGCATGATTGGGTTGTGGACCGTTGTGGCAAAGATGTAAAATATATCATCGACTACTATGATGGAGGGTCTATTGATCCTAATCACAGGTATGAAATCAGCATTTCTAATGTAGTGTCATAAGTGTGTTAATAAAATAAAATATTCTAATAATAATGGTGGAGAAATTATTGACTCTGTAGATAAAATGTATGAAATGAAAGTCGATGGTTGCTGTCTCAATGAGAAGCAGTTAAATTTTTAATTTTATTTTGTCCTGATATTTCAGCCTAAGTTTCAGGTTTTTTTTAGAAGATGGCTACGTGGTGTAGACCAAAGGTGTCATATAATAATAGATTGAATAGATATTGTTTATATTGATGTAATAGATTGAAGATAGGGGTCTTAATGGTCGAGAAAGTTAAAGCGTAAACTTTACATTCTTGAGTCCAGCAACGTCGGTTCCAATTGGTGGCTTGAAATTTAATTATTGATGAAATGAAATTCGACCTTTCCACTTTGGTCAGAACAGGTTTGGTTGCAGCTATGAACAATAGAATTATTATTGGCTTGATCTGCCAAACCCTACTTATTTGCTTACTTTTTAAGGTTGTAGTTTGTCAGTTGAATCTTGATATAAATGTATGTTGTCTGTTATATGAAATAAACCTCTTAATTTAACTTATTCACATCAAGATTTTATTCAAAAAAGTTAAAAGCAATAAAAATTTCTAGTTCTTGTATTAGCAAGAATGTGGCCTAAAAATAATTTATGTAACATTTAACAACTGTTCTTATCATCAGGAGTAAAGCCATCTACCTGGACCAAATGTTGTCTACCTGATTACAACTTGATTTAATTTATTTACAAATTAGTCAGGTCTTGGAAGAAATTAAGGAAATGTGATTCAAGTTTTCAATGTAATTGATAATTGTAATTCTTTGTTGAAGAATTTTATCTTGTTTAGAAGTTCTTGAAATAGATAATAGCTTTAGTATTTTTTACTCGTCATTTACATTATATGTTTGTAATTTTTTAAATCATTTATATGATTCTGTAGAATGCTTTATATTAAATTTACTTTTCAGATTTGCCATACTAGATGTGAGGCCAGCAATGGATTCTTTGGAAAATGTCTGGGACAGAATGAGAGTTGCTTATTGGCGTTGGCGTTATGAATTAGAGGATTATATAAAAGAGAAGAAGGATGCTTAAAATGTTACCAGTTGTTAAATTTAAATAGACTTAGTTATTTATTTATGGTTAATTGGAATAAAAATTTGTTCCAAATATTAAAATGTTATACTTTTCATTAATTTCTTCCTTCATTTCCTTTCTTTAGTAAAATATTTCTTTACTGTTCTTTATAACATTATTATCATATTTTCATTGAATATATCATGCTATATAATTGATTACAGTTGAAAACACATATGGAAGGGCCCAGGGATAATGATAAATGACTAAGTTTAAAAAAAATAATCAATTGTGTTTATAACCTGACTAATATATGAACCTAAACAGATTGTTTGAGTCTGCTAATTATGAAAATTATGTTTGTTTTGGGTAAACCATTTATTGAGGAAGGCTTCAGTCTTTATAACATCACACTAAGGCCCACAGGAATGGAGCTGAACAATCAATATCACTCAATCTGCAAAACTTTTTTATTATAAAGCCTTTCAACTGACAAATTTATTTTTTGTTTTAAATGATGGGTCGTTTGGTTGTTCCACATAAATTTCAGATTGCTATTGAGTTCATTAAATTTGTTTGGTAATCCGACAAGTTCATGATGCCCAGAGATGAACATCATTTCAGGCAACATTCTGACCATCCACAGAGAGGTGAGGGCTTCTTCATTTAAAGTTATAAAGTTTTTGTTTCCTTAATAAAAAGGTGTAAACAAAAATTTAAGAGAAGACTAAAAATATCAACCTTAACTGGAGTGGAAACCAAATATGATAAAAAAAAGGGAACTGCTAGATGAAGATCATAATATGTAGGGCCTTCACATGTGTTTTTTTAAGCACTAGAAACAGTAATTGATTTGGTACACATACAGAACTCATTAGCCTGTCAAAAATACTGCTTCTCCAGAGATTAAGAGATGATGCAGCTCTAATAAAAAGGCAGAGAAAGTTAAAAGAACAAGTCATTAAAGTACTTAAAGAAAATTACTAATGGTTTACATTCTTTGTTATTTTTGTATTGTTATATTTATATATAATGCCAATTATGGTTAAAATTTAACTGACATTAACTAGTCCAGATTATTGATGCTCTACTATCCGAAAAGTGTGACCAGCTCCTCTGTATATATTTACTATCTATTTCAGAGCCTCTATACTAACCATCCATGATATTAGTTGCAAACTTAAAGCTTACCTTGTGCTGTTGCTTTCCAGATTTCTGCAGCATCTTAGTTTATTCTATCTAATTGGTTTTTGGCTTTCCATGTGGCCTCTTGCCTACTATTGATTATTCATTATTGTAAAGAGGCTTCCTCTGCCTCAAACTACCTGTCCCTCCCATCTTGACCTCCCTGCCTTCATATCATGAGATATAGGATAACCAATCTCATATAAGTACTTAATCATTGGTACTCAATGCACTACTACTCTGACTCCAGATTATCATGAGATTATCACTACTGCTCTGTTTATCATGAGGAGGATTTTCTTTCTAGAATGCTAGTTAGTTTCTATGTCTTGCAACTATATTAAAGAATGGCTTTATCATTGCATTGAGATTTTTACATGAACTGTTCTATAATAATATATCCTATAATTTTTATACAAACTCACATATAATCCAGTGCCGGCCTTAGACATTCGGCGTCTCCCTTGGCTATGACGTCATCTCCTCTAGAAAAATCATTGTTTTATTATATTTTGTAATATTTGAATATTCTTAAATTCAACATTTCTCTAATACAGTTGCTTTATTGGTAAACTAAAATTAATTATTTTAATACATTTTGTAACTTTGTTTTTAATTGGTGAGCGCCCCTGAAGATGCCAAGTGCCCAGAGGCAGTTGGCTCACTCTGAGGCCGGCACTGATATCATTTAAAATGATATGGAAGAAGGAAAAAAAAATTGTATTACTGATTAATTTTATTAGATATTAATTTTTTTTTTATGTCCATAGTAAATATTAAGTCAAAGATTTCTCATCTAGACCTGAGCAGAATTTATTTGAAATTACATTTCCGAAAAAAATCGTTAAATAGCCTTCCCCAATTATTTTGGAAATAATTTATTTCATGAAATAACTTGAGCATTATTTCCAAAATAATTATTTCAGAAATAATCATTCTGATAGATGCAAAAGGGAATGAAATAACCATAACAAAAATCCTGTTGTTCACTCTAAATTTAGTTTTCGTTTATTCCTCTGTTTTGTTTTCTGCAATTAGGACTTGAGGCATATTTGCTGCTGTTTGAGACACTTTACTTTCTATAGAGGCTGAGTGTGCCCTGACAAAAGTTTCATTTTTCCTTATGTTCCCTTTTTATTTCCTGCAATTAGACAGACTAGGGGAATAATATTTATTGCTGTTTAAGACACTTTAGTCTGTATAGAGCCTGAGTGCCCAACAGAAATTTAATTTTTTCTTATGTTCCCTTTTATTGTCTGCAGTTAGGCTTTCTTAAGGCATTATATCTACTGCTGTTTGAGGCACTTTAATCTTTGCAGAGGCTGAGTGTGACCAAAAGAAATTTCCTTTTTTCTTATGCTCCTTTTGTTTTTAACAATTAGACGGACTTGAGGCATTATATTCACTGCTGTTTGAGGCACTGAATAAAGTGCATTAAAAAATGAAATTGCTGTCAGGCACACTCAACCTCGACAAATTTGAAGTGTCTCAAACAGGGAAATATATTGAGTAAATATAATATTAAGGTGGTCGGGCTCACTCAGCCCATTTGAACTGGATACCTGTAGGTATTGGGCGAAATATGCACCCTATAGTCATTGTCACCGGTGGATGAGAGGTTGATCGTGTGGGATTATACTATATATTTAAATATTATGTATTTGTTATATTGGTGGATTTTTTATGTTATTTCAGTACATAAAAATAATTTCAGAAATAATTATTTCATGTTTTTTTTTGTAGTAATTTATCTATTAAATAAGTAAATCTGCTATAATAATTATGAAATAATTATTTCTGAACTAATCATTTCAAAATAAATTAATTTATTTCAATGAATGTTAAAATATTGAAATAATCATATCAGAAATAAATTTAGTGGTTATTTCATCAAGATTATTTGATTGGCGATTTGAAATATTATTTCAGAAATAACCGTTATTTTGGAAATAATTCATTCATGAAATAATCATATGATTTATTTCAGAAATAAATTATTTCAAGAGTGCCCAGGTCTTGTCTCATCTGTAGCCCTGAAGATACTAAATGGTTGGAGTGAAATATCGGCCGTAAATACATTTTTTTTAGTTGCCACTGAATCTCATTAATAACAACTTTAAATGTCTTTCTGATAAAGTAACTCATGAAATTTTAAATAGGGATGTAAGATATATTTTTCAATATGGATATGATGTTTGTTTAACATAATAATATCCTTAGCATGTGATATGTTATTTAAGTTCAGAAATATATGAATTATGTTAATGATGCTAGCAGGATTTTCAGAAATATAAATAGGTGAGTTGTTTTAGATTATTAAATTTTTCCAAAAATATATTGATTTTTAATACATTTATCTTCATTTAATCATCTTGGTAAGAGTTTTCTTCAAGTTGATTTACTGTTAATTAGAATTGAAATGAAATGAACTTTTTGTTTAGTAGTTTATGACTTTTATATTACTATTCTTTGGTTATTGGTTAGTGTAAAATAAAGTGAATTTATGTCTCGTGGAGGATTATAATAAACATACATGTTTATTAGTAAATATAAACAAGCATGTGACTGCAAAACTTTTTAAAGATAAAAAATGTTTCATAGATGGGAAAACCTTTTTATCAACTTTTGCATTTATTGGGAAAAATAAGTAATTTAATGAGCTACTGAAAAGCCTACTTTAACATTGAGATTTTGAAATAATTTCTAAGTTAATTAAATTTCATTTTAAAATAACGATTTTGAATCTATAATTATGCTGGTGAAAATGGATTCCTTTCTAGTTTATATTTAGATATAATAAATTAATATTTTAATAAAAATATTATAGAAGCACTGCATTTAATTTGTTGAAAAATTATGTGATATTATAAAAATGTTAATATATTATATTAATATTGAAATAATACTTTTTTTTTGAGGAAATTTATCTATTAACTACTAGGTGTATAAGCACGGGCGGATCTACGGGGGGGGGGGGACTTTCGGGCTGAACCCCCCCAAAATGGTAAAATATAACCATGTTTTATCGGAAAAAATTATCTCTTAAAGTATAATTATTCGTGTAATTACATTTAAAAGGGCTTTAGGAATCACTTAAACACCAGTTCATATAGGTACTTAGTTTCTTTCTTATTTTCCAAAGTAATTATCGTTACTTTTATGAAAAAAAAAGCTTTCGGGCTGAAGCCCCCCTCCCAAATTAAATCCTGGATCCGCTAGTGTGTATAAGTGATGCTAAAAATTTAAATGTATAAATACCACTATTCATATACCTTGATTTCTGAAGGTAAATAGAAAATAGCTGTTGAGACCTAGATCTGTAAGTTGTATTTAATATGTATTTGTACATTAAATCTTATCTATTTAAATTCTTGAATTCCTTTTATAATATCAAGTATTGTGTTTGCCATTAGGATTAAATTTGTCATACCAGAGTATCGCGTTGATATGAAAAATAAAAAAATTACCACTTATGCAAATTCTACTACACTTCCTGTTAAACCATTATGTTTCCAAGCCAAGATACCGGCAACTTGTTAAACCAAGGTAAGCTGATAATATGTGATCTTTTGTAGAACTGGAAGGAATTGTATCTTTAGAAAAGTGTTTTAATCCACACTTTGAACTTAATAAATTATGTTACTTGTAAAGTTATCGGTAAAAAGTCTTGGAATCTAGAATTAAGAAATTCAAATTTCGGTGCTATGTATCACCTCAACTAATATTTATTTTTTATAATGTTACATAAAGATTATTAGATTACATTTAAAAGATTAAATGTATTTAGTAAATTTAAAACTTTGATAAATAGCTTACTTTCAACAAGTATAATCTATTCGGCCGTGTTATTGATTTCTAACCTTCCGATTCTGTAGACCAAATGCTACATATAATTTGTTGTGTTTTCTAGTTGATGGAATTAATTTTCACGTATATGGTTGTATTCATGAGATGAAGATTTGAGTGAGGATCCTTGTATGATCTGTTTACACTTCTAAAAGGCATTGGTAACGCCGGTGTAGAGTCCATATTGTTCTGATTGTGTTTTAGAAATTTGATTTTATTTTATTCGTGTGTGTTTGTGAAATGCAACTCGCATTCGTGAATGGGTAAGTAGATAGTTTAAATATACTTTTACAGTTTATCAACACACTTTACTTAAATTAAAAATCAATTAAACCATTTTTTGATAAAGATGTGTACATTTCAATGTTTTGATAGTTTTAATAGTTATTTAGTTATCATTTAATTCTCTTATGAGTTTATCATTTCTTGGTATTTGTTATTGTTATGCCTAAATGATTTCTGCTGATTAAGAATGTTTTGATATGATATCTCACATATATATTTTAGTTTAATAAGATGAAATTTCAGTCACTTCTCCATACTTTACATTAATTACGAATTACTGTTTAAAAATATTCATTACATTGACTCTTTGCCCAACAAGTCTTGATTTTAGGGTATCACCTGTTGCAATCATTGTCAATGTTTTATTATTTAACAATGCCATTATTTGTATCTTGTTTCAACCTTATTATTCTTCTAAGTATAATTTGATTAGATAGTTTCAAGTTAAACATATGTACTTTCATTCTTTATCAACTACATATTGATTTATGGTATCAATGACAGTTGCTTGTATTGTCAGTAGTTGTTTTTTTTTCTTTTGCCCAATTTAAACATTTAAAGTATTTTTGCATTAACCATTTTGGTTTTCAAACATTAGACATAATCTCTTCTTAACACTTTAAAATAGGCACAAAACAGATACACAAGTTCACCTTCCTTTTTAGTGTTTATTATATTGAATATTTTTCTTCTATTTATTCTCTTCTACAATCTAATTATTTCTTATCACTTAATAACTTGTTACAGAATTTGTTCTATGCAAAAGTCACTGCAAATTTGACAGTGGGTAATATTAATTTTACTGATTTATTATTTTAGCATTGACATTTCTTCTCATTCATTTTTTCCAAGAAATGTTACAAATGCACCAAACAATAATTTGATGATATTTTTGTTACTTTTGTAGGGCAAGGGTAGAAATCTGCTCTATTGTCTGTTTAAATATTTGTTTTAATTTTGAATTAAGTATTTTTATAATGTCACTAGGAATTGTTTATCTATAAAATAGATAAACATTTATGCTGTGGCTCAGAGATATTAGGATTTTATATATTTTTTCTTATCTTTGATCAGGAATACTTTTTTTTTTTTATAACATTTTTTCACTTGATTGCTGGATGTTTTCATAATGGAATCAAATGTCAAAGTACAGTGAAGGTTATGTATCTCCATCATCCTACTGTAGCGCTCCTGGTGGCAAGAAGTAGAAATAAATTCGCTAAGATAAAAGATATTTTTTTTTTAGTATATTGGTTACAAGTATATTAAAATAATTTTGTATATATATGGAATTAGCAGTGATACTGTTGTTGCTTTTCATTTTAAATAATTTATAATTCAATTAAAAAATGTTTTGAATTATATGTACGTAAATTTTAATCAGTAATTAAAACGAGATCTATTTATACATATACTATCATCTATTCGCCTTTCAACATTTTAATGTTGAATTGGATTCCAAAATTGGGAACATATTGTTTCCAATTTATAGGAAAGACTTTCTGTTTCATAGAGAAATAACTTTTATAGAGAAGCCTTAACTAAATCAGTGACTCCATTTGTTTAAACTTTCTTCAATAAAGAAATAATTGTAACTTGGTGAGTAATATTATCTCCCCCTCCCCTCCTCCTGGGCGAGAAGCGGCATCAGTGCAGTTTTTTATTTTATATGACATTTATGGTTACTACTCCGTTTCTATGGGACATGTTTTGGGCTTGTTTCTAAACTTAGCTAGCCATCCTCAATAAATCGTCTAACACTGGATAAACAAGTGCAATATTAATTCAACATTTTTTTGACGACCTTATTTGAATTCAGTTTTCTAATTTTTACTTTTTTTTTTTTCAAATAACTGGGTTTAGTTCTATTGATTCTTTAGTAAAAGGGTCTCCTAAAGAATCAATAATTAGATCGTTTTTATAGTTGATGATAATGTTTTACTTCCTTGAACCCAAATAATATAAAGCTTCCACCGCTTTGTTCTATTGCTTCTGATTTCTGGAATTTTTGTTTTTGCGTTCCAACATCTGCCTAGGGGAGTGCTTCAATTCGTCATTCTGGTTGACATTTCAGTTGACATCTGTTTCGTCTGCCTGAGTCATCCGAACTTATTTTTCATTGGTATTCACATCATGTGTGATTCCTTTATTGGTATCCACACCGTATGTGAAACCATGTTGCCTGAAAGACGGGTAGGTTTGCAGCAGAGGAGGGGGAAAAAAAAATTTAAAGTTCTAAGTATCTCAATAAAGTTAAATAAATTGAAATGAAACTAGTCTATACGTGTGAATAATTCGCATAGTATATTCATCTGAGAACAAATGAGTGGCTTCATATCAAAGACGGACATCTGTTAATATCAGTATGTGGAGAAAAATACCAACAAAAGGTCAACTGATGATTTTATTTAAAAATGTTCAAGTTTAATTAGGAAAAATAAACATTAGAAATGGTCTAAATTGAAGCAATGTTACAAAAATTAGCATTTTTCCTACTTTTCAAAAATGACAGATGCCTTTCTTTGATATGAGGCCACTCAAATTGCAAAATGACATTGAAGTACGTTAATGCAATATATTGTAAGATGGAAGAACTGTTTTCCTTCGATCGAATATAATGGTTCATTCAGAATATTGAACGAAAACGTATCGATGGTTCATTTCAGAACTAAAACTAAAAAAATCAACGGTTTTCAGTTTTATTCTGACACTTATGGCCTATAATCTCTTCTTCAACATACAAAACGGAACCATTTCAAAATGCCTTCAGTGTTAGTGTGAAAGTTTATGTTTCACTATGGAATATTTCATGTAATTTTTTTAAGTTTGTTCAAAACGTTTGAGCTGGTGTATAGCAAAACCTTGACTATTGAGTTGTTTTAGTTTTCAACTGAGCCATCGATAAGTACAAATTACAATAGACTATTAGTCCGAGGTGCAGATCCCTTTTTATCAAATCATTAACATCCGTCTGAAACTTCGTGAATAGCTTCATCTCATCGTAACCTACAAGTTTTTTATTTACGAAAATTCTCGGAATTGGGGCGTTTCAATCTGGAGATCGTCAAACTTTGTTTATTTAATTAGGTACTAAAAACTCGAATATATCCATTTGCTTCCCCTTTGGATCGTAAGATAATTTGATCTCATAATCGAGAAAAAATGGTCTCCCTCAAAAATATAGGCATTTCGCCAATACAACATCGTTATTTTGATATGTTGGGGGTGTAGGTCACGCCAAACGGCTCAATATTTTTGAAGGCCACCGTTTTTCTTCAGTTTCTGCTCAAGTTATCTTACAATTCGAGTTGAAAAACAAATGGATATTTACGAGTTTTTTAGCACCTAATTAAATAAACAAAGTTTGGCGATCTCCAGATTGAAACGCCCCAATTCCTTCTCGTAAATAAAATATTTGTAAGTTACGATGAGATAAAGCTATTTACGAAGTTTCAGATGGATGTTAATAATTTGATAAAAAGGTGTCTGTACCACGGACTATGTTTATTTGCTAATAATTGTGTCCGATTTTTTTTTTTTTAATTTTCTTAAATAATTTAGGTTTTTTCAAATTGGTACGATCAACCCTAAATTGCATTATTATTTTTTAGTCATACGCAAATCTTTTTTTTCCTTCATATTTTTTTTCCTGTCCTTTTTGGGTTTATGCTTGTATGGATCCATAGTATACTTGAGTTAGGCATACCTATTGAAAAACAACTTTTAGATATTTATATATAGTATTTATCACAAGCAGATGAGAATGTTCAACATTTATTTATCAATGTCTGGACATTTTCACTTGTCTTGTACGTACCACCATCTGTTATAAAAAGCTCCAACTTCACCAATAGTTGCCCCAAGGAACTCTTTTTAGGAATTTTACTTCCTCAATGACATGGTTTAACAATATCGCTATTGTTAGTGCAGAAGGTGATTTGTAACATTTTTTCATTTTTAAATAGAATACTTGTGCTAAAGGTGACATTTTGTAGTCTCCAACTGCTATAAGTAGCCTGTTACTATGGAAAATATCAGGGAAATTAAATATGAAATTATACTAATAAATAATAAAGAAATCATCCGATGCTCATCTGTAAAAAAAAAAAAATCAAATTTTACGTTCGACCTTTTTCAAAAACAATAGAGATTTGTGGAATTGTGCCAATTTTTATTTTGAAGAATAAGAATTAACGAAATACGAGATGCGTAGGCCTTTACAAACTAGAAGAAGAAAAAAAATGAAAATTCCAAAATCAAATGAAAACATAAGTTTCAAATGGAATAATTAGTCATAAGAAGCTAAAAATAGTAAAGAAGTGGTCAAAATACTTGGATGAGGCTCTGTCGACTTTGAAATGGCCCTTTAGCAATTTCTCAATTGCTCCTTCTCATTTCGTCACATGCTTGATGAATTTCGGTGATTCACCGAATTAACT